AATATAAAATAAAATAAGCCTTCACCTGTTGGAGGCAGCTGGGCCTGCTTTGATTTTCGGCGGATGTGGGGGGAAAGGTGCAGAGGAAACAGGGAAGTCCCAGGGAGGTGTGCCTGGCTAAGACCCTGCAGGAGGGAGGCCCACCAAAAGGGAGCCAGGTGACATCCAAGGTCCTTGGGGCCGCCTGCTCGCCTGCCCGTGCCAGGGAGAGGGAGTGGCATCAGAACGGGCAGCCCCTGCTTGGTGCTGGCTCCGGCCAGACCTTATCAGCCCTCAAAATGCCCCCGAGTGAGCAGATTCTCTGTGTGATAAGAGACTCAAGGTTGGCACACACCAGCCGCAGACAATGGCCGGGCACTGGGTGGGCAACTGATCCAGGAACAATGCTGGACCACCGAGGGTTAATCAGGGAGCCAGGAAGGGCCGGACCCCAGTCAGGCAGCAGAGGTGGGGTGGGGACATGTCTTCTCCATCCCCGTCCTGGTTCTTCACTTTTCCCGACCCTTCGCACTCCAGGGCCTTTGCACGGGACGTTCCCTTTGCCAGAAACACCATTCCCTTCTCTCTTCCAGATTCAGTGCCAATGTCACCTCCTCCAGGAAGTCTTCCCTGACTGCCCATATCAAGGCCAGGTCCCCCCAGCATACAAGACTGTCATTCCCCATCTTTTCCCTTTCAGAGCATTTATCATAATATTAATAGTAATTTAAATAATGGAACTCTGGAGTTTGCCATTTAGTGTTTACCCCCTCCTCCAGACACCAGAAGCTCTGTGAGGGCCAGGACTGTATCCATCTGTCCGTCCTGTTTGCTACCACACAGGACTTGCCACCTTGCAGGTGCTCAACAAATGTTTGCGGAATAAAAGAATGGCCAGCTGGTTTGCTCCCCGATCAGGGCTGTGGGGCAGGTGGCCTACCTCCCAGAGCCGAGCACCCAGTGAAGCACATCTTGGGGGCTCAGCTATGGGTGGGATGAGCTGGGGCTCCCTGGCTTCTTTCTAGCACCTGGGGGGCCTTCACCTGCCCTGAATCAGGGATGGCAGCGTCATGGCACTGCCCAGGCACCTACTGTGTGCCACGCAGGAGGGCGGGAGGTGGAGGATCGGGGGTCCCACATGGGTCAGGTGCAAACCTGCTCCTCTCCTACAGCCTCTGAGGGTCCCAGGCAGCCCTGGGCGCACAGCAGGACCTCAATTAATGGTTTGGATGGAAAATGCCCTCTGTCCTGAGGGAGGCAGAGGGGGACCCAGGAAGGTTCTACAAGATGGACCTTGGAGAGAAGGCACTCAGGACAGGCAAGTTGATGGGACAGGCGGTGGCTGGGGACAGCTGTGAGAGAAGTGAGAAGGGACAGATGAGGGAGTATCGGGGAGTTGAGGGACCCCGTTGCCCCTCTGCAGAGCCCCAGGGTCCTCGTCCGCCTGGGATCAGCGCTCCCCAGTCACGGCCAACCCCAGCCTTTAACAGGACCCATGGCCAAGTTCCTACAGGGGCCTTGGGGCAAGTGCTGGGGCCAGAGCTCTGCTGCCCACCCTGCTATTGCCAGCTCCCAGTAAGCCCCTCACCTCCTGGGCGGGCCTCGGTTTCCCCATCTGCATAATGAGGACATGGTGCTTTTCAGCTGCCCTGGCCCTCTTCACGTGCAGCTCGCCTCGCTCCTGACCCAAGGTTGTGCTTGCACCGCGGCCTGACAGGGCGAGGAGCCGGCCCTCCTTGGGGCAGAGCTGGCCACAGCCATCCGTCCTGGGGTCGGCTCTTGTTCCAATCTGGTGGGAGCTGCCCGCGCCTCCTCCAGCGGGGACTGAGAATTTCCGTGCTGACCTCACCATCTGGATGAGCAGTTCCAGATGTCGCTGGGGGCGGGGAGGGGGTTCCTGGGAAGGTCCTGGCAGCTTCAGAGGGTACTGAGGCTGAGAAGACGGCCAGCCTAGCCTGAGCCTCCCCTCGAGCCAGGGCCCCTGGAATCCCCCACATTCAGGCCGGGCTGGAGTGTGGGACAGGAGAGGAGGAGGGCAGGGGCCGAGGGGAGCACCAGACGAGGAGTCCAGAGGCTGCATTTGCATCTGGCTCTGCTGCTTCCTCGCTGTGGGGCCACGGGGTGACTTCTTCATCCAAACCTCAGTTGCCTTATCATTCAAATGGGTACATTGACACCTGACTCCAGGAATTCCACGGAAGCTCTGCCAGGCTCCCAGAAAGATGAGGCCATCCTTGTTAAATGGTCCCTGGGAAGCTTGTGCCAGGAGGCTCTGGGGACACTGAGGCATGTCAGACCTTGCCTGGTACCCGGCGTGGCTGGTCCCCCTCCAGCACAGTATAGCCTGCAACTCCTGGGCCCGCTATCCTGCTCTTGCTCCTGCTGTTCCTGCTCCCTGGGCACCCTTCCTCACCACCTTCTAACTCCTACTCATTCTTCAAGACCCATTTCAGGTGCCTCCTCCTCCAGGAAGCCAACCCTGATAGCCCCATATCCCAGCCTGGTGAGGGGCTGTGTTTCCAGGGAACAGTCTAGCCTGGTGTTTAGGTGCACAGTCTCTGGGACAGGCTGCTGGGTTCACATCCTGGCTTTGTGACTCCCTTGCTGTTGTGACATTGGGCAAGCCCCTTAACTTCTTTTTTTTTTTTTTTTTTTTGAGATGGAGTCTCGCTCTGTCGCCCAGGCTGGAGTGCAGTGGCTGGATCTCAGCTCACTGCAAGCTCCGCCTCCCGGGTTTACGCCATTCTCCTGCCTCAGCCTCCTGAGTAGCTGGGACTACAGGCGCCCGCCACCTCGCCCGGCTAGTTTTTTTTGTATTTTTAGTAGAGACGGGGTTTCACCATGTTAGCCAGGATGGTCTCGATCTCCTGACCTTGTGATCCGCCCGTCTCGGCCTCCCAAAATGCTGGGATTACAGGCTTGAGCCACCGCGCCCGGCCTAAGCCCCTTAACTTCTCTGTGCCCTCGTAGCCTCTCTCAAGGGGAGTAACAGAACCACCCGTAACACGTGTGGACAACTCAGCCTGGCGCCTGGTACAGCGTGAGCTCTCAGTAGACAGTGGTGGTTGTTATGGGATGGACAGGATTTCTCCCCCGCATCCCTGAGTGCCAGCTCCATGCTGGGCACTGCCTGGTGATGGAGGCTCAGGACTGAGAACGGGCTTCAGAGTCCGGGCCCCCTCCTGGTGAAGTTCCTCGCTTAGCCAGGCGGAGACGGGAGCCTGTAAAGGTCAATAGCCCGGGGCAAACCGCGCATCCGGGTGGGTGTGTGGGATAGGAGGAGGACAGGTCTGTTTGCTCCCGGGCCCCAAGCCACAGCACCCAGTGGCTGGTGCCCAGCCAGCAACCCAGCACAGGCACTGCCTGCTGTGCCACCCCGACCCCTGAGGCCGGCCAGCAGGGAATGGGCCGGGGTTGGACCCGCACTCCCTGGAATCAGGGTTAAGGATGGGCTGTGCCTGCAGAGCTTGGGGTCTCTCTGTCCTCCACCCGGTTCTGACTTCTGGGCCCTTGGTTGTCCGGGTTGCCGAGATCTTTAGCAGCTCCTGTCTCCCACCCCAGGAGGGAGAGGCCCTGAAGCCACAGTAAACGGGGTGAGGTCACAAGTCTACACACAGGCCAAGTACACGTGTCACCATGGGGACGAGGGCCAGCCTGCTTCTCCCTGGGGAGTAGGAGGCACGCAGCATTCTGAGAACTGTGGGTGCCCGGACTGGGCTCGCACAGACGGCTGGGCTCCTGTGTCCAGGGCTGTGGCTGCCCGGGCCACCCTACCCTGCCAGGACCCAGGCATGGACAGCAGATGGCATTGCTGGACTGCTGAGCCCAGCGAATGACGGGGGAGACTGAGGCTCAGAGGCCAGGAGCGCCAGGCTGTCAGCTGGTGGGAAGCCTGTTTCAGCCCCCTGCCTCCATGCTCTGCACAGCCCTGGCCCTGGGCCCTGTATCCAGAGTCCCTCTCTGTGTCCTCGATCCACAGCTGAAACCAGGGCTGTCCCTGGGGCTGGGGGTAGGACAGGGAGCGGGGAGGCAGCACTGGCTCCCCTTCCTGCTGTGATGAGGGCTTCCCTCTCTGTGGTCCTCTGGGGGAGGCAGGTAGGAGGGACCTGCAGCCTGCTGAGCCCCAGGACGGCCAGGCAGGATGGGGACGCGGATGTGGCCAGGGCGGGCAGGCAGGCTCATCCTCCACTGCCCAGGGCTGCCCCCTGCAGGGCCACAGCCAGTCCTGCTATGAGCCGGGCAGGAGAGATGGGCTTCACAGCCGCGGGCTCCGCACTGCTCTGCACTACCCAGGGGGCTGGTGGACAGTCACAGACATCTTGAGGCCCCTCCCGGCCTCAGCACTCCCAGCCTCCTGCCAGGACGGCCGGGCACAGGCCCCAGCGGCAGCACCCGTGGAGAGGTCAGGCAGGACCCAGGTCAGCCCTGGGAGGAGACGTGAGAACGGAGAATCCTGGCGGGGGCATTCCTGGGAGCCAGGCCCCTCCAGACACACAGACAGGGAAACAGCAAACCTCCCTGTCACCCAGAGGCTTGCTCCGGAACTCACACCCCACGCCTCGCACACTCACGGGTTCATACAATCATCCGGCCTGCAGCCAGGATATACAACCATGAGATCACAGCACACGCACTGCACACACACTGCACATGGCTGCACATGCACTGCACACGGCTGCACACAGCTGCACACGGCTGTGCAGGCACCGTACACTTGCTGCACACACACTGCAACACACTGCACACACGCATTGCACGCGGCTGCACACTCCTGCTTGCAGCAGCCCTAGGACTCCATGTCCCCTCCAGGTCCACTCCAGGCTGGCTCCCCTCCTCAGAAGCCCCAAAGCTACCCGACAGCCTGAGACTCTCTCTGCTCACCTCCCTTCCTCCCTGAGGGCCCAGCTGGTCCCTCCCATGCTCAGCCTGAGGTGGGGAGGCATCCCGGGTGCGGGAAAAGCCCTCCCCTCTCCTGTCAGAGCCTGGAATGCGCTGACCAGCGCCCGCCTAATCCTCGCTGTATGTCCCACAGGGTGGCAGAGCTGGCGGGGGCCGGGGTGGGCTGGGGGACAGGCCCTGTAGCACCGGGTGGTCAGACGGGACCCCAGAAGCCAGGGCAGGGGTCGGCAGGCAAGCCTCCCGTCCCAGGCCTGCCCTTGGCCAGATGGGAGGATCTGAGTCCCTGGAGAGATCCGTAATTTCGGAGGAAGAGCCAGGCTGGGGTCCCTGCCCAGACCTTGCCATCCATGTGAGAAAGGAGTGGCTGCTTTCCTGGATCCTGAAGGAGTGAAGTGGGTGACAGTCAGGGGAAGCAGGGGCAGGTGACCCCATCTCTCTTGTGCCTGCACAGAGAACTAGTTGGAAGGGAGAGGCCCGAGGTGGAGGGAGATACGGGCTGGGAAGGGGCTACAGACCTTGTCAAGTCACCCGGCGGGTAGGGCCCCGGTGCTCCCCACCCCCAGCCCCCCCGCCGCGCTCTCTGCTCCCAGCCACCCATCTATATCCCCAGGCTCCCCGTGCCCTCCCGCAGTGGCTGGAAGCAGATGGCAGTACAGGTGGGTGAGACCCTGGACCTGGAGAAGGAGAGCAGGGCAGGGCTGGGGGCTCCCTGAGCCACCCGTGCTCTCTCTACACAGAGCTGGGGGTGTGGGTTCTGGCCTCTCATCAGACCTCAGGGCTGAGAGGGCGTCGGGGTGAAGATCTCCCCAGAGCTGGCCTGCTGGGCAGGCATGTCCCTCCCGCCCCAGTCCCGGTCACCCTGTCATGAAGACACCAGAGGAACAGAGTCTTAGCCTATGTCTGGCACCGGGCTGAGGGCAGGCTGGGTGGGCAGGGACCTTCCTGGACAGATGGGATACATGGGGTGGGGATGGGGGTGGGAGGGAGGAGGCTGCAGCCCTGTGAGGCTGGTCCCCCTGTCTCTTCCACTCAGTTTGAAGCCTTCTGTGCAGGGGGCCTGGCCCCTGGCTGGAACCTGCTCGTCCAGGGACATGCTGACTCTGGAGAGGACAGGTCAGAGGCACTGCCCTCCCCTCCCTGGGCCTTGGACTGGGTGGCCGGACCCGGCCGTTTGCAGCTCTTGACCCGCACCATGTCCACCCCAAGTTCGAGATTCACTTCCTGTCGGAGACAGGGGACATTGCCTTCCACGTCAAGCCCCGGTTCTCCAGCACCACCATGGTGGGCAGTGCCTTCTAGGGCGGCCGCTGGGGCCTGGCGGAGCTGTCTAGCATCTTCCGGCTGGCCCTGGGGGAGCCCTTTGAGGTGACAGGGGCCTGGGTGGGGCCTGGGCCAGGCAGGGGAGGCCCGTGAGGGAACAGGGAGCCAGTGGGTCAGGGGGCCAGGGCAGGGTCTGGGTGGGCCTCCCTGGCCTCAGTTTCCCTATGTGTGCGGTGGGTGCCCACCACCCTGGCTACCAGTCACCCCATCTTGGGAGAAAGGAGGGGACTTCGGACTGGGGGCTCCAAGCCAAGGAACCCCGGGGCCTGCCAGGCTGTGCTTCCTGGAGACAGCCGGCAGGCATATTCCTGTTACAAGCGGGACCAGACCCCAGGCCCTGGGGGTCAGCACTGAGGTCACTGGCCCTGGCCTGCCCAGATAGAGGTCAGCTCAGACGTGGAGCATTTCCACGTCTACTCCTGGGAGCACAAGGTGCTGCAGTCCCCACACCGCCAGAGGCCGCTGGGCACCATCACCAGGGTGTGCGTGCTGAGTGACCACCTCTGGTCCAGGGGAAGGAGCTGGCCAAGAGGGGCCTGAGCTGGGGGTAAGGTCCCTGCCTCCAACCCAGGCCCCTGCCCATTTCCGCCACACACTGCCCACCCCAGCAGGGACTTTGCTTCTCACCCTGATCCGGGGACCCTCCTCCGCCTGGGGAGGGGCTGTCTACCTGGTGTCACACCCTGCTCCTCTCCCTGCCAGCCCTGCACATCTGGCCACCAGAGTAGGCCCACGGTCCACCTCCCGCCCTGGTCTGTGCATAGGCAGAACGGGAGCTAAGGGCCTGCCTTGGATGTTTGCAGGGACCAGGGCTACTGAGAGGCACCTGTAGCCCCAGGAGCCAGATTTGGCTTGTCCCATGTCCAGGGCACCTGGATCCCCACTGTGGGGCAGCTGGGCAAGGGGGTCTGTGGTCCTGCGTGCTCCCACCAACTCCACTTTCAATAAATTCTGAGAAGGCTGCAGGTGCTCGGCTGCTGGGGGGTGGCGGGGGGAGGCTGAGGTGGGGCCGGCGCTATGACCCTGGAAGCTGGGGGCTGGGGGACCCTGAGACCAACACCCCAGGGATGACCCAACCCCCTCACTTTGTCCCCAGGATCCTGAAGTTCTCACGTAGGGCTGGGATGGACCGGGGAGGGGTGTCGGATGGCATCCGATGTGGGGAGGGCGCCTGCCATGGGCCAGAAGCTCCCAGCAGAGCCCAGGGGACAGAAAGGCAGGGGCAGTCGTGGCCTGGGCCGGTCTCCACCCAGAACCACCAGGCTCAGGCTCTTGCCATGGCTCAGCCCTGGTGGGGAGAGTCAGCCCTGGGGGACTCATGTCCTGCCTGGTCCAAGCCATCTCCTCGGAGGCCCGAAGGCTTCCTTCTCCCCCTACTTCCTGCAGGGGCCTTTCCTGTTTCTCCTAGCCCACCTGGAGGGAGACGTGTGCCTGTCCCAGCAGCCTCCTGTGCGTGTGGTGGTGAGAGCCAGGCTGGTGTGTGGTGGGGGCAGGAAGCCCCCAGAGGCCTCATACGGGAACATGAGCACTGTGGGGAGAGTCCCCCAGGCCTGCCCCTCCTGGCTGCGTGACCATCCACAAATCCCCCCAACCAGCCTCAGGTTCCACATCTACACAGTGGCAGTTGTGGCTCCTGCCACAATGTCTGCAAAGGGCTCAGCCTTCTGAAGACCGAGCCCAAGAGCACCAGGGTGGGAGGGTGACTTCAGGGGCTCACACATGAGATTTCCTGTGAGTTTTCATAATTGTATGTTAATTCCACTACAATTACCAACACCGGGCATCTCTTCACCTCTATCTCTACCTATATATCATTGATATCTATCGTCTATCATGTATATATCATCTATATCCGTCATGATCTTCATCTTCATCAATCGTCCATCTATCTATCTATCTATTCATCTATCTAACCACCTACCAATCTATCGATTATTTATCCACGTGAAACTAGTGACGTCACAGCTTAGGATGAAACTCAACGGGTAATTAACCTTAAGTGAGTTATTTAAAGGAAAGTATTAGGCCAGGTGCATGCCTGTAATCCCAGAACTTTGGGAGGCCACAGTGAGGGGATCCCTTGAGACTCTAGGAGTTGGAGACCAGCTTGGAGAACACAGCAAGTCCTCGTCTCTACAAAAAATACAATTGGCCAGTTGTAGTGGCTCACGCCTGTAATCCCAGCACTCTGGGAGGCTGGGTGGGGGGGGCCTCCCAGAAATCCTGTCTCTACAAAAAATTTTTAAATATTTTGTAGAGACAGGGTTTCACCACGTTGGCCAGGCTGGTCTCAAACTCCTAACCTCAGGTGATCTGCCTGCCTCGGCCTCCCGAAGTGCTGGGAGTACAGGTATGAGTCACCGCACCCGGCCTGGCACTTGTTATAATGCTACTGTATAATTCCCAAACGTCTTGCCTCCTCGGGTTTTACAAATGGGGAAACTGAGGCTGGGGTGGGATCAGGAAGTCAGCAGAAGGGTGGGGTCTGGAGAGAGGAGGGTCCAGTAACCCTCGCTGCCCTCCAGCTCTGGGGAGGCATCTGAGGGCAGACCATGGCGCCCCCACTCCAGGTGACACAATGGCGGCCCAGTCTCCAGCTGTGCGGCTTCCTTCCTGTCTCCACTCACTTCCCCGCCTGCATCCACGGCCCAGCTGGCAGGAGCCCCTTCCTGCCGTCTCTTCGCCTCTTCGGGAGGCCTGGCCTTTGTGTCCACTGGGAGGGGCTGGGGACAGGGGGGAGACATGCACTGACAAGTCCCGGCCATGGGTGGGACTGGAGCGTGGGGAAGTGGGGATCCACACAGCAGGGCCTGGATCTGTGGTCAGGCCTGCCTGCTCCTGGTCCTGGGGGCTCTCAGCCTGTCAGGGAAGATGTCCGGCTTGGCCTGCCAGGCCCTTGCCTTGAGACCCAAGCTGCCTGCTCACCCTCTCTGGGCCTCAGTTTCCCTGCAAATAAAAGGCTCCCTCCCTGCAAAGCTCTGCCTCCCCAATAGCCATGCAAGGTGAGAGTGTGCCGCAGTGTGAGATGACAGGCTCTTTTCTTACTGTGGGGTGGCTGAGGCTGGGGACGACCCGGGAACCAGGCCTGCACCTTCTCCCAAGAATTTGGCAAGGTGTGGAATGAGCGCAAATCATTTTACAGACGTACAAACAGGCTCGGGGAGACGGAGTGACTCACTCAGGGTTGCTCAGCAAGCGAGAGTTGGAGCTGACCCTTCTCTCCACTCCAGTTTGCAAACCAGACCACAGGGGCCCCAGACCCTGAAGCAGTGTTGATCCTCAGTCTCCCCATCCATAAAATGGGGTGCAGGGAGCTATGGTCTTCACGTGTCCTGCTGCAGCAGCTGCTGCCCTCCCTATCACACCTTCCATGGCTCCCACCACCCTCAGCACAAAGCTCAGCTTCCTGTCTGATCTGGCCTCAGCCCAGCGCTGCAGCCCCAGTGGCCCATTCCCCTACCTGCCCCTTCGGCTCAGAAGACACCTCCTCTGGGAAGCCTTCCCTGACATCCTGCTGGGCTCTTGCAGCTCGGCTTTCATTGAGGCCCTGCCCTCCCATCACACTGCCTCATCTGAATGCGAGGGACCCTGTCTTACCCCAGCCCCCAGACTGGCCCAGAGCACATTCCACTTGAACTCTTTTTAGGACAGGCAGCTCACTACCTCCCCAGAGCAGCCCATCGCCCTGCTGACCAGAAGCAAATGCCAGAGCTGACTTAAATCTGCTCCTCCCCTGTGCCATGGCAGAGGCTCCTTAGAAGGTGCCCACACGCTCCTTGATGCCTCCAGAGACCCAAAGCCATCAGCAGGGTGTTGTTTCCTGCTAAAGTGGCTGCGGGAGGTCGAGCAGGGCAGCCCCTGGCCCCGGCGCGCTGAACCACATCTCTGGGAGAATGTGTCTCCCCCTCAGTTCTCTGTCTGGAGTTGGGGTGAGATTCAGGCAGATTCCCTGCACAGGGCCTGTCCGGGGAAACACAGCTGCCCGGGTAAGGAGGCTGCAGCCCCTGGAGGGTCAGGTACGCAGGCCTCCTAACACCACCTGCTGGCCAAAGGCTCCAGGCTCTCTGCAGGGTCAAGGAGTGACTCAAATGCCCACAGGGGGAGGGCAAATGTGCTGAAGTGAGACAGGTGGGCACAGGGCAGTAGGGGTTGGTGGGGTCTGTGCCCAATAGAAACACACACTGCTCCCACCCCCACCCTGCCCAGCTCCTTCCAACCATGCACAGGGACCTGTGGACCCAGAGCAGGCAGATCTTCTGAATTTAAAACATCTGAGATTCAAGTGCTGTCTGCTGTCTCTGTTTTGAAACACCAGCCACTACGGGGAGACTTAAAGAAGGTTTCAGCCGCAGGCAAAACTGCCTCCAGGGGCGCCTGGCCTGAAACCTCTGCTTGCTTTTTTTTCTCCTTCTCTCCCCTCCCCTCCCCTCACTTCCCTTTTTTCCTTCCTTCTTTCCTTCCTTCCTTCTCTTTCCCTCCTTCCTTCTCTTTCCTTCCTTCCTTCCTTCCTTTCTTCTTTCTTTCTTTCTTTCTTCCTTCTTTCTCTCTCTCTCTTTTCTTTCTTTCCTTCTTTCTTTTTGAGACAGAGTCTTGCTCTGTCACCCAGGCTGGAGTGCAGTGGCGCAATCTCAGCTCACTGCAACTTCTGCCTCCCAGGTTCAAGTGATTCTCCCGCCTCAGCCTCCTGAGTAGCTGGGATTACAGGCACGCACCACCATGCCAGGCTAACTTTTGTCTTTTTATTAGAGACGGGGTCTCACTATGTTGGCCAGGCTGGTCTAGAACTCCTGACCTCAGGTGATCCACCTGCCTCAGCCTCCCAAAGTGCTGGGATTACAAGCATGAGCCACCATGCCCAGCTAATTTTTGTTTTTAGTAGAGATGGGATTTTACTATGTTGCCCAGGCGGGTCTTGAGCTCCTGGGATTGCAGGCATGAGCCGCCGCGCCCGCCCGAAACCTCTGCTTTAAAACCAGCTTCTCCTCTTTTCTGGCCTCTGCTCTGTTCCTCCCTCTCCACCCGGACAGAGGTTGGTGGTCTCTCCAGGGTGACCCCTCCCCATGTAAGCCCTCTCAGCGCCCCATGTAAGCCCTCTCAGCGCCCCATGTAAGCCCTCTCAGCGCCCCATGAGGAACAGACCGGCCAGCAGAGGGCACTCCAGACATGGCCTCAACCCAACACCAGGCTACAAAGCCCTGTTCCCAGCATGGGGCAGGTGGACCCGCATTCCTGGACCCACAGTTTTGGTTTCCACAAGAGGACAGCCTGGGCCTGAGTCCAGGGGCTGAGAGGAGGAGAACCAGGGAGGGGACCTGGGCCCAGCCTGTCCCGTTTGCTGCAGAGCCCAGGGCCCGGCTCAGAGCTGAATGGAGGGAGAAGAAACCTTACGTGGACCTGAGTGAATCACAGGCTCAGTTTCCCCTTCTGTAAGATGGGTGGCTGTGAGGAGGGGCCTGTACAGGGCCGGGCAAGTGCAGTAGAATACGGTCCACGTGGGTCCACACCTGCCTCCATCCCCACCGAGGAAGCGAGTGGTCCGCCAGCCCCGGGA